CGCGCAGTACTAGAATTCGTGTAGCGCTGGGTGCGCAAATTTTAGTACTGCGCGAAATATAATCCGCGAGAAGAGCTTTGTGCGCTACAGTAAAGATAAAGCGGTGCGTTCAAAATACCAACAAGGACTAAAACATTTATTGTATGGTTCTCATTCGCTTTATAAATAATTATAATACAATAACATTAGTTCGACGCGAATTTTAATACAAGTAAGGTATGGTATCATATTTCATAATATAAGGAACAATGTAAATGTAAACTAGCCATACATTTCGCCGAACATATAAACTTCGGCCCGTTTGGGCATATCTTTTTCGTAATAGTATTATTGGAACCAGAATCCAAAACACTATTTCTACACTATTTCACACTATCGATCGGGCTATAAAATATGGTCAAGCATCAACGTGGCGCGTGCGTGCGAGTGAAAACCCGATATTTTAAAAAATTCAAAATAAATATTTCTACTCTGTGCCGTATTCAAACGAAACTTTGTACATGAAAGCGCTTGAATACAAGACGTATTTTATTCACATTGACTCTGAACAAATTGTGAAGAGTTTAGAAGATATTCAAATCTTTTTCTCGATATGAAATACAGAATGTTTGGCCAAGCGGTGAGTGGTAAATATATTATTGTTTTGGTTTGTGTAATGTTTTGACAGCATTTGACGCCCCCGCAGGATTACAATGGTGCTTTTTGTTTTAAGAGGGGGGAGGGGGGGATGCTCGCTGAGATATTTATAATTAGAAACAATAAAAATCGTAAAAATGTAAAATTTTGAATTGGGGCGTGACGCGAAATTAGCCCATTTTAATACAGGCAGTACTTTGCTGGCAGTGCAATTGTCTATACAGTAAATACTAAAGTAGATAGACAGTAAATACTAAAGTAAGGTGCATTACCAGCTAATGGTTTAATAAAAGACATTGACAGATGTGTTTGTTAAACTATTTACTGACAGTATTCTACCACTGACAAGTAAAATCGTCTGGCGGTACACGGTGTAAATTTGTCTGGCATTAGTCTGGAGTTATTACTGAAAGTAGTGTATGTTGCCAGCTAATAGATTAGTAGACCTTAATATCCACTGCTTATTAAATGATGAACGAGAAACAAGCAGGAAACATAGGGGATATAACCTTCATGTGCAGGCCTGCCATTCTACCAAAGATGAAACGTGGAAATGATGCCATTGGGTCAAAAGTAAACTTCCCTTTAGAGAATTATTTAGAAATACAAACTTTTGCATTCAGATCATGTGGCAAAAAGGCAGCACTTTCCTTGCGATAGTAACTCCTAGTTATAGATTTGCACCATAGGTCTCCCGAAAAGGTCTTTTATTTTTTTAAAAAATCCACACAATTTGCTTGCGGTTTACGACTTGATTCTTGTATACTGCATCATAGCACGTATGTCGTTATTTTCAGGTCAGTGTGAACGCCTGAGCAGGCGTCTTGTTTATACTTAAAGGCCCCCAGTCGTGTTTCATACTAGTGTCAAAAACCCGAGGCAAAGTGATAAATATGGCCTTGTTTTACTTTTATTTTGCAAAAAACTGTCAGATAAAAGGTTTCCCATATATTTTAGGTCAACATGAATATCCTTCGAATAATAACATTTCCAAAATTATGAAATTACTGAGTTCGAAGTTATGAGAGAATTGTAGATTACATTATTAATAAAAGATAAACTGTCAAATAAAATTTGTTCTTCGAAAATTTGTGGTTGTCATTTTACGGGAACTTCTTTCTTATATTTATTCAGTTTACTAGGCAAATTACATGTGTTCGCAATAGTCTAGCAAACAACGAATTCGATTAAATTTGCCCATTTCAGCGTTTTATCCCCATTTCAGTGTTTTATCCCCATTTCAGTGTTTTATCCCCATTTCAGCGTTTTATCCCCATTTCAGTGTTCAGTTTATCCCCATTTCAGCGTTTTATCCCCATTTCAGTTTCCACTTTCAGTTTCCGTTACCGCGATTCAGTTTCAGCATTTTATCCCTACCCGTTTCTGGATGCTGTTGGGCTGACATTGCCACACAAAAGAGAATTTAATTTTTTAGGATGAATAAATTTGGTAGAATTTACAAATCTGACATATTTTTTGCGAGTTTATGTTTCGATTTCGTTGTATTGCTTTGCTTGACCTTGTCTATTGTACAGAGCCGTATTAGTGCCATTGAAATATTGCGCTCGAATTTAATATTTCTCGACTTTTTTCTCGCGTCTAACATTTTTCTCGCGTGTGAAATTTTTTCTCGCGTCTAACATTTCTCGTGTCTGAAATTTTTTCTTGCGTCTAACATTTTTTCTGGGTTAAAGGCTGATTTCCACTGCTGCGTTTTTCGTACGCACGTACACACACGTAAAACTTTGAATCCTTCTATTTTCTTAAATATTTTACAAATAAGTTAAGAAATGCATACTAAAACTTGCAAAACACTAAATTCTGTTGCTTTATTTATTTGGTTCTTTCATAAGTAACATTTAAACGGATTTAAAGTTTTACGTGCGTATACGCACGTATGAAAAACACAACAGTGGAAATCAGCCCTAAAGGCGTAAAAGTAGACCATACAGAATTTGTCTTATCTTAATTAAAGAGAATTTTAAGTATATTTAAACCGATAACTGCATTGAAAAACCCTTGAGAAACAGCCTATTACATTGGCATAAGATTGGATTACTACATGCCAGATAACTGAGAAAACTAAGCATGAAAGTTGCAATTGTAATTTGTGTTCGTGTAAAGGTAGGTCGTACGGAAATTGTCTTATCTTAACGGGAATTTTATGTATATTTAAACGGATAACTGCATTGAAAAGCCTTTGAAAAACAGCACATTACGTTGGCATAAAATTGGAGTACTACATGCCAGATAACTGACCGCAATAAATTTAAACTTTATTAACACTAAATTGTAATTTTAGGACTCTTATCTGGTAGTGAATATTTAAGCGAAGAGACATTGATTTTTATTTGTTCAAATTCTAGGACAATATTCTTTATACATATAGATATGCCCTTATAAAACGTTCTTTTGACCATATCCGCGTTTTATCCTTTTAGATAAAATGCGGATATGACTTAAAAAGGGCTGAAAACGTTTTTTGGAACATATCCGCGTTACGCGGATATGACTAAAAAAAGGCTAAAAAACTTTTTTGAAAGCCATCTGTCCGCCATCCATTCGTCCGTCCGTATCCGCGTTTTATCCTAACCCAGAAAAAATTTCAGACGCGAGAAAAATGTTAGACGAGACAAAAAAATTTCAGACGCAAGAAAAATGTTAGACGAGACAAAAAAATTTCAGACGCGAGAATGAAAGGTAGACGCGAGAAAAAATTTCAGACACGAGAAAGAATTTCACACGCGAGAAAAAATATTAGACACAAGAAAAAATTTCACACGAGAGAAAAAATGTTAGACGCAAGAAAAAAGTCGAGAAATATGAAATTCAAGCGCAATATTTCAATGGCACTAATATGGCTCCGTACTATTGTCTATTGACCTTGTTTACATAATATAAGTTCTATTTAAAGTAACGCACCTGATTGGATAATAAAATTAGAAAGCCACTAAAGTGCTGAAGTGCACAATATTATATCTTGCTTGTGATGTTACTCTGAGTGTATATCCACACCGGGCAAGCTTGAAAAATATGCCTGACCACGGTGGGAATCGAACCTACAACCTTTGGAATACTAGCCCAATGCTCTGCCAACTGAGCTACGCGGTCTGGTTGGTTCGAGTATGTGATATTTCGGAACAGAATCTAGTTCCTTCGATAACATTGATATCGAAGGAACTAGATTATGTAGCGTAGCTCAGTTGGCAGAGCATTGGGCTGGTATTCTATAATTTCGATTCCCAACGTGGTCAGGCATATTTTTCAAGTTTGCCT